ATAATTTTTTTTTTATTAATTTTTTTTTTTTTTTTCTATATGTCGGGGGAAATTTTGCTTCGCGCGCGATTAGTCATCACCTTAACAGAACGTGAATCGACTCGCAGAACTAGACTAACGTTAAAAATACGGATGATTTATAATACGTGTTTCGAAAATAGATCGATGCTACTAATTATCGCGCTTGAGCGGCGATGATTCCATCACTTCAAGACGGATTTTACATACCTTGAATGGATAATACTGTTGCTGCGACATGGTTTTTTTTTTTTTCTTTTCTCGATGTAGCGATCAGCAGAAAATTTCGCGAGACCCTCTGTGAAACAAAAATTCAACGATAAGCGGATGAATGCGTCATACTGTTTATATCAATGTTTGCCGAATCATCAATTGTTGATTTGACATTTCGCGTGAAACGACGTAATCGTTACACGACAAAGGACAAAGTAGCAATCCAAAGCCGGTATATGTCATCGAGTTTAATTTCAGGTATCAAGGATAGATACACAAGAAAAAGTATGTTTATATCGACAATAAAAATGAAGATTGTATTTTGCGTACCCTTGAACCTGACAATCTGTCATCGAGGATAGAAAACTCGAGAGATGACAGCTCTTTTTTAAATTGATAATAAATCAATAACACTAAAGAAAAAAATATATACGAACGAAATTAGGACGTGGGAAGAAATACATTACCAAGATGAGCGATGACGTGACAAGGGACGAGCCAGAAACGCTCGTAGGTTTCTCTTAGCCTCTTCAAGCTGAAGTTTCCTAGCTCGGTGGGAAAACTAGAACTGATCAACGGAGGTAGAACAATCCGAATCCGATGTGTACGAATGCCGGTTACTGAGTCGTCGCGGACACACCCACTTTCACGGATCACGTCATCGCACCGCGGTTCTCCCAAGGCAAAGCGATTGCGAGAGACGGGATTACGAAATTCCGTGCTTCATGCTCTATGTTCCACTTGGTGATCGCAACGCTCCCGAGCATTATCTGTCTTTGTTTAATTTTCGATGAATAACAAGGATGAAAGATGATCCACGAGTGTTGTGATTCCCAAGTGGAACGTAATCTTTCTTCTTTTTTTTGTATCTTCATGTGGAGATCAACACTCAACACGTATTTGGAATTTAGATTTGGAGGGGTATATCATATATCGTCCTGACTCTTATGTCATCGAATAGAAAAAAGGCATGACTCTCTTTTTCTCCCACTTCCATATGATATACGCGTATAAATCAGTGTATGTGTATACATGTATAATTGAATGAATTGAACTTTGGATCGAGAATTTGAAAATGATACGGGATTAATTAATATGATCACAAAAGAACAAAATAATATGATGCAACAAGCAAGTTTCTCTCGATAAATATAAATGTATACATGATGATCGACCATAATAAATATAACCTCTATTTGATGCACATTTGAAATCAACATTTCTTCTTTTTCTTCTTTTGCGAATATTTCTTCTCGTTGGGAGAGCTATAACTTTTTCGTCTAACAGCTTACAAGATGATGAGCAATCTCATAGATGCCCATTGGTTTCCTCTGGCATCGCAGGGGAACATTTATTCAATGACCAAACTGTGTTCTCCCAGTAGTTCCAACAAATTGTTAGTTGCATCGTTGAAGAGGAAGATCTATTCCTGCGAATATCATCAAATGACGGAATTTCTGAGGCCTATGGTAAAGGAACTACTGTTTACGTACATTCCCAGTATGTAAACTACTATATACTTGAAGATTTGTCCTTTTTTTTTCAAAATGTTCATTGGACACAATACATCTTACATTTAAAATGAAAAACTTACCTATTTTCTATTTCTTTGTTTCAGGTGGCGCAGAAATTATCTCTATTGATGCTTATAATAAGTCAGACACAGGAGACAGTTTCGTGATAGGAATAACAATTATGAAAACAAGTACAGACACAATCGAGAGGTACCTGAACATATACACAGAGGGTGCGATAGATGGCGAAGGGGATGAAGGCAGTTCGATTGAAGCTATAGCTCAAAACTGTCTGATGGTAGAACTATCGTACACTCCTTACCATTTATACCATACTGTTTTACCACAACCAAATTTTACACATGAGGTAAATTAATAAGATAATACTAAATACTTGTTTTTCTTGTCAATAAGTTGCTTAATATATTATACATATGCCTTATGATAATACAATTAAAAATTTCTAGCTAGTTTGGCTAATATCCGGAAGCGATTACAAAATTCATATGATAAGGGAGGATAAGTTAAGTCACGTTTACAGCGAGTCCCCCATTGAAAAATATTTTCCAGAGCTACATGATCTGCGAGCAATCGCGTTATGGATTAATATTTATTATTATGACAATTATAAACGGTTCGTACAATAAATGAAAATTGTTTCGCTTCTATACCTTAGTAATATTTTGTATAATCTTGCACACATGTAAAATACTAATCTAGAAGAGTCACCGCCGTCGGTTGTGAATGCGGTCTAGTCAAAGTTGCCGTGATAAACGTGATGGATCTACAAGTTTCTCAAAACTGGCTATTGAGATATGATAAGCCTGTACCTAGTGTGATAATATTCCCACATCGAAATGTCATCCATAAGCCAGCATTCGTAAACGCCAATGGTAAATATATCAAGAAACATTACACATTTATGTAATATTAATGTACAATTCTGGAGATAATAAAATTACCAAAAATTCTAGTTGAAGCCGAGAAATGTATTCCTGCAGATGACATCCCCAAATTAAACATTGTTATTTCAAGTACAAGTAACGCTGTTGTCTTTGAGTAAGTAATTTATGTATTACAAAGTATTAAAATACAAGTACTTGTCTTTTTTTGTATCAGGAATATTTTGGAACACGGCATGAAACAGGACGTAATATTAAGCGGCAGCGAATCGTCGGATTGTATCCTGTGTTGCTGCATAGCGGACATAAATATGGATGGCCAAAACGAGATATTACTCGGCACTTACGGTCAGGAAGTTCTGATTTTCGTATTGACGGATAATGCATGGGAATTAACTGCCAGAAAATTATTCGACGCTCCTGTGCATTCTATAAGTTACATGGATATAACGAATGATGGAATAAAGGAACTGATTGTACTCACACAACGGGGTGTACACATATTACAGGTTTTACACACGTGCTTTCACATATATTTAATCTAAAATGTATTTTTAAAGAAGATATCATACATTCTCTTTTTTTTTATCTTTTTATACAGCATAATATAGCTGACGTACAAACAAAATGGAAAGAACGTTATGAAAAAGTATTTGATATAACTCGGGAAAAATTGTAGTACTTGTAACAGGAGAGGGTAATTTTCCTTCATATATTTTATATCTATGTCATATATGTATATTGTACATACCATTTTTAATTTAGGTTAAATATGTGATAAAAAAACATAAAAAATATATCTTTGTTAAATTATTTTGAAAGGAAAATATAATACAAGATTGTTAAATCTATTTTATATTTTTTTCCGAAATAACTGGATATACGGGAAATACTCGACACACTCTGATATCCGAATAATTAAAATACTTGGGTATTCCAATATTAATAACTCTAATATTTATATTCAGACCTTGGAAAAAAAAGAAAGAGAAAATAGAGAGTGTAAAAAGCAAACAGATCGATATGCACTTTTAAGAGAGATAAATCGACCGACCAAATATATAGTATATAAAATATACCTATTTGCGTTTGAAAATCTTATTCGAGTAGCGTTTGAGTAACTGATAATCAGAATAAGGAAATTTTATTCCTCTTAATAAATTAATCAAATGCTACTCTTTCTGTTCTGATAAGTAGACTTTAGAACGCAACCTAAACTGTTGCATGTTTTACATTAATTGGTTTTACGCGTCATCCATAACATGGTTATGCTGAATAGACCTTAAAAATTTATCGCGCAGATTTATATGACCGCGCGAAATGTATACATGAAGAGATCCGCCAATCACGAACCTGAAATGAAGGACACTGCATCGCGTGTATTGTATGGACATACACGTGATTGGTTGATTTCTCCGTGGATGAGTTTTTATATGCAAATCTCCATTCGGTCGGATCTCGAGTGGGGAAACGAAGGGCCTAGCTAGCCTATGTGACGTTTGACAGTTTGTCACTGGCTTGTCACTGTTTGCTACGCGCACGTGTCGACGGAGCCGCGTCTGCCACACGGTACATACATATATACGTTCAGATCGGACAGTTATGGTCATGACCGTTCGTGGTGATCGCGTACCGAGAAGAAGTATCACTGATGATCAATATATCGCCGTATCCACGCTGCCGCTCGCCACTGATTGAGATCCGGGTTACCAGCTGACTCGTACTCGTCCGCGTCCGCGGATCACGTCCTTATAGATCACGATGACGAGCAAGAAAGGTCACACCCTCCGTATAGAATCCGAGATCGATCGGAATCGCGAGGAGGGTAACTGGAAAAAGGTTATAGAGCTGGCGGAACATCTAAAAGTCCAGTACCCCAGCAACGGTAAAATATTCACCACTTCTCTTTTTCCATGATTCTGCGAGGATCCGCCGATACGCGTTCCTCCCACGAACCCTCGCGAAAGGTTATCTTTGCTTCAACGACATCCTGCCATTTCCGTTCGCGCTCTCTCAGAGAGAAAAAAAAAACATCCCACATTGTGTAAAGATCAAGGACAACACAGTAGAGTTCGCGTAAATGTCACACTCATCCTATTTAATTATATATAGAGTGTCACGTATCTTCAATTACAATATTTCTGCATCATCATGTTTATAATTGCTCTTCTGCATTGCAAAGATGAAGAATTGATTTTTATATAATGTACTATCTTCCCCTCGTGTGTATCACAAAAAAATTGATAAATATTTTTTCAAATGTTATGTTTCTCTCGAATATCGATAAATATCTGATAAAATTTTTATTCAACGTTTAAACATAATTGCATAAACATAAAGGAAATGTCATATCTCAATTTTATTTTGCCTAACAGAATGTTTGGCAAACTTCTTATGCGGAGAGGGAAGATTGGAGAGTTTCTTAGAGCAAACTCCACCGATAGATGCCAACATCAGTAAGGCCCGAAATGGACTAGTGGAAACAAGAAAGTATTTGATATTAGCTGCTAATGAAAAAGATAAACAGGTATTGTAATGTTAAAGCAAGAAAGGGACATAAATAGGAGAATAAAAATTAGTTATATATATGCAATATAAAATTTTTCTTTTAATAATTTGTAATATATTTCAGGCTTTAGTTGTACTGGACGCCCATCTGCTACTTGGAAAACTTCATTACGCAATGGGAATGTACGAGGATGCGCTTCACCATTATCAGCAAGCCGAACTAGATACACTCACAGAAAAGCAATTACCTTGTCGAAGTTTACGTATTATAGCAGAATCATATGCAATTAAAGGTTTGCAATTGATAACTATTATAGCTCCTTCCTTTTTTCTAATAGTGTAGTATGTTTTAGTGTAATATTTGAAAAAAGTACACATTAACAGCTTGCTTTTCATAGTTTTCTTTGTTTTCTCTTTTAACAGTTGTTTTTAAGTTCTATAGTTATATGGTTTGAGATATATTTTTCTTTATGTGTAAGATCATATTAAATGTAGGCATTTCATAATAGATATTATAATTTGAAGCTATATACTTGGACAATTCTATCACATATATTGTCCTTTTGTTAACGTGTGTTTATGCACCACTCTAATTTTACATCGTAATAAATTTATTAGAGATATTTATTTAATTTGTAAAATTATTATCTAGTATATTCATTTATTACTATGATCCGTGTATGATTTAGAGAAAGAAAGATTGTTTACTTTAGACACAGACAAACATTTGTCCTGCCGAAGACTGCGCATTATAGCAGAATCATACGCGATCAAAGGTTTGTATGCTTATTTGCTTCGTTTTGCTTATACTTATTTAGTAATTTACTTAGTTACTAATGTGCACATCATATGTATTGCACACTTATATAATAATATCTGTTGTATTAAGACACAGAATAGTCTGCTTGTATATGCTTTGGCTAGATTTATACAAGAATGTATAACAGCATGTTATTTCATTTTTGTGCACACTTTTTAATACTTATAGAGAAAATTCCCAAAGAATAATTTTTTCAAATAACATAAATAAAAATTTCATTTTTGTTTTTTCTAAATTTAGTTTTATCTCTATTTGTTTTCTTAACAAATGCATTTAATTTATTGTCGCAGTGGGTTTATGGGAAGGAAGCACAGAGAGATCTTCATTAATGACAAAGAATGAAATTATAAATATAATTATATAAGTTTTATAAAGTATATTTTTTTAATCATTTTTGAGCACTATAGACTACAAATTTTAATTTTACATCAAATCTATTCTTTGCATTGAATGTATCAATAGCTTTTGATTGATACTATAAACTATTGTTTGATTCAGGTCTCTGTCTTGAAAGGCTGCCACCAAACTCCAAGTCGAAATACAAGATTGCAGAATGGCACGAGCAGATAATCAAGTGTTACGAGATTTCTGGCGACTTGACGTTAGTGTATTTGCAAGAGCAGGACAAAATCGCTATGCAGCAACAAAATGGTATTTCCACCATAAGCACAAACAATACAGGTGATTGATGGGCTCAATTTCACAAATAGCGAGCAACTTTCATTCTTTAACATTACGTTATCTATACAGGTACATATTCCACACAGTCTCCAGTCTGTACCACAAAACATGTCGGCCCCATCTTGGAGACCGCGTTGCAAAGAGCGCCGATATTGTACATTCAAACCGGCAACATACAAGCCGCCATTAATCGTTACAGGTGTATATAAATTACGCAATTTAATAGTAATATAATCGCGATGTATGTGTGCTTACATTACAAAAATTCTACCTTATGGAGTCTATAAATTTTTTAATCATTAAAAAAGTTCTTGTATACTTATAATACAACATTATTAACATTATTTCCATGTAACTCTATAAATGTTTGTATAATCTCTCTCGATTCTTGCAGGGAAATTTTATCCGCTGTTGAATCTACAGCCACGCAGAGTCTGCGGGTAACGCTGACAAGACAGTTGGCGGAGGTGTTGTTGCGTGGCATAAGCGGCGCGGATTACAAGGCACCAGAGGGACAAGGCGACACAACGGGTACGGTAAATATAACGGATAAGTCTCATCCGTTTCCGTTGAAAAGACAATACTATCGATGTTGATATTACAGTTGCCGTGAGTAATAGACGAACAAATCATCACTCGTCATCGGATTCGCCGTGGAAACCAAAGAAGTACGCGGGACTGAATATGTTCGTTCCGCGAAACGAATACGAGGAAACGATTCTGTTATTGTTGATCAGCGAGGCGATGGCGGTGAGAGACGCCGTTCTCAGCCAATCGCCCGAATTCAAGGAAGCCCGGATACATGCGTTCGAAAATGCCACCGCTGTCTATGACCTGCTCACGGTCGTTGTCGTTAGATGGAGTCAAGTGGAACTCTTACACGAAGTTAAGACGGTTTCTTTACTTTTTTATCAAATCTTATTTTTACACTATCGTTATTTTATCGTAAGACTCATTGTTATTCATTATCTCTTAATAGTCTTTCGAAAGAGCGATGAAATTCTCTCACGAAGAGGCACATGTATGGACCCAATATGCATTATGCCTGATAAGTATGGGAAGATATATGCACGGGTATAGAGTTCTGAAAGTAGTGGCAAGACTGTCACCTCAAAAAGTAATGCCTTGTCTGTTGGCTGCAAGGCTGTGCTACGAGCAATTGAACATGGTAAATGATATCTTCTCTTTTTCCTATTCCTTTACCGCATTCTTTTATCTATAAGATCTAAAAGAATCTAAAAGAATATTTTCAAATTCAATCTATGGGCAGACAAGCGAAGGTATCGAATGGAGTCAGAAAGCACTTCAACGCGAGACAGCGAGTCCACAGGGGATGCAATCCAGATGTCATCTGTATATCGGAATCGGCAACAGTATGCTCTCCGCAAATACGATCGTGAAACAGGATAAGGTGAATCATACGAATACCGCGTTGGATTGCTTTCAGAAGTATGTAACGAAGCTCGAACGAAGCTCGATGCACATTAAAAAAAGATTCGTTCTCGTAGATTTTTCTTTGTAATAGAAAATTATTTTTTTTTTTTTTTTAATAGAGCGCAACAGTGCGATCCAAACGATCACCTAGCCGAGTATTACCTGGCTCACGAGTACGCGATAAACAGACAGATAACAGACGCTATTGTGCACGTGAAGATCGCGCTGAATTTACGAGCAGAACACATTCCGTCGTTGCATTTATTCGCGTTACTTTTGTCAGCGCATAAACAGTATTCCGAGGCTTTGCACGTAATAAACAGCGTATTGGAAGAATATCCGGACAACTTGAACTTTCTCTACGTAAAAGCGCATCTTGAATTGCGAAGTATCGGCGGCGTCGATGCATTATACACCATCAGTCACATGTTGCATCTGTGGAAAAATCTCTACGAAGATCAGACAAATGTTAATTGTAACGAGCAGCAAAGCGAGAGACGCAGCGAGACCAGAAGCGTCTTTCAACTTTACACATCAGAGATGTCCGATAAAGATTCTAGTGAGTTAATACGGATTAACTAACGATTAGTGAAAAAATGACTATAATGATTAAATTATATAATTTTTTAAAAAGAAATTTAATCGCACTCGTGATATATTTATTTTTTAATAATGTATCCCGTAACGCATTCTATTAAACTCTGAAATCTAATTATTGATTTCGACATGAAATATACAATAGGTTTTCGATAGTTTCCTAAAAATCATTTAATATTATTAAACGATGACGATTTTTGGTAAGGTTCTCTGCATGCGCAATCGCTAGCCGCTTCAAGAGTCGAGCACGCTCTTTCTGAAGTCGCCTCGTCGATTAGCTCGTTCACACCAAAGCCAGGACCTCAGAGGGCGTGGTTGCTGCAACTGCAAATCTGGCTCTTACTCACGGAGGTTTTTCTTATCTTGGACCAGCCAAATGGCGCCGTTCTGTCTCTCCAAGAAGCTACCAATATCTTTCCACTAAGCCACCATATTATGTACACGGTATAATAGCTCGCGAGATTTCTCGCTCTTATGAATCTCGATGTCTGAGAATTCTCAGATTAAATGATTCACCAGAAGATTATTGTATAATGCTGCATATGATAATCGCGCGCAATTATCTCTTTGTAGCGTGGCCTTCTACATGAGTATAAACTGGAATATGCGGAAGCGAAGCAATGCTATCAAAACGCTGTTTCAATTAATCCTTTACACATAAAGAGTTTACAACATTTGGTAATAATTGTCATACTGCATATATTAATTCTCAAACATATATATTTTATGTTATTTTTTACATACATTTTATACGTTATTGTAATCGCTTTTACAGAAATTTATCAATCTACTATAATTTCTGTATATATCGGATTATATTAGCATGTATTTGCAGGGTCTTATATATCACTATTTGGGCAGTCAAAGACTGGCTGAGAAGACCTTGAGGGACGCCGCAAAAATTGATCCAAATTCCCATCAGACTTGGTATTATATGACTTTAATTAATCGTAATAAAGTTAAATGCAATATTTCGTAGTATGATATTATCTATAACGATTCAATAATGATAGCTTATTGGAACATTTGTATTTTACATTATCGATTATTTCAAAAATTGTCGCGATAAATCGAGTACTAAGATATGAATAGAATCGATATACATATATTTTGCCATTTTCATTCTATTCAACATTAACATTTAATTTTATATATATTATTGATATGATTTACCGATTAAAAAGTACAAGGAATGTCGTATTTTTTTCAGGTACAATCTGGGAATGGTGTTGGAATCGTTGGGTGAAGTGGAGGCTGCTAGTGATTGTATGGCAACGGCGTTGGAAGTTGAGACGACAAATCCCATTTTACCGATTCTATCGATACCGGTAACCTTCGAATGATTGGAGAAAGAAAAGAGAGAAGTTTCTGATTTTTCTTAGGATAATAAAATTCTACGAGATCACGATTTATCTCTCTCGCTGTATCTCCGCGGGCATTTTCTCGCCTTTCCATCAATAGTACCTGGACACGTTGTACTATTGTATAAACTTATTGTTGAAAGAGAAAGAGAAGATACTTTAATTGTACAAATAGTTGCAGTTGATGTAATAAATTCGAATAAAGTCTTACCTCTCGATTCCGAGCATTCGCGGAACTATTAACGATGTGACGTAACTATTTCGTGAAAAAAACTGCTTCATTAATGCAGGATGTGGAAATATATATCTCCCCGCTGCATGTTTCACTGCGCTCCGAATACGAGTAATTATCGCAAAGTGTTTGTATTCGGTACGAATTATCGTGGCTATCGCCGTTTTAAAAATTTCTACAACGCCCAAGGCGTTGAGTCTGTAGTTTTTTTTTACACCTACAAACATTCAATTGACTTACGCATAATTCGTATGTACATGGATACGCGGTGACTGCGCGGGACCTATTTCGATATGTATCGAATTTATTTATTTAATATTACTTTAGTTTATCATATATATATAATTTGTTAAATTTTCATTATGTTTGACGATTCAATCGCGCTCGCGCGCATCGAATGCGGATTACCGCGCAAACCTCTGCGACAGTGCGCATATGTGATGGCCCAAATTTTGCGTACGACGTGTACGCAAAATCGGACGGATGGACGGAAAAGTCTGGTACAATGCCTCTAAAAATGTAGTAATTTATTTTTATAGAAATCGATACGGAGACACACGATGATATATTTTATCATCGGGCGGCGCAACGGTCGATCTCCGTTTTCCCTCTGTCTCTTCTCTCTTTTTCTCTCCTCTCTCCGCCTCATCCCTCGCTTTACGGGCGAATAAAAAGTTGCCTTTCTTCGATCGTCGAATATACAATCCGAGTATACGCTCGACGCGTAATAACATTGTACATATATAGAACGCACACGCGAATGGTAGAGTCGCGTTATCGCGTTAGGGAAAGTAGCTATTTTCTTTTGTGTAATCGATATAATAATATTATACGTGCATGGCCTGGTTTCGTACACGGGGAAAACGCCTTGGATTGTCTTTGCCGGGAGAGTCGACCGGGGCGCGTATTGACGCGCCTCCCTTGTGCGGGGGCATACTTGAGAGAACCACTCGTTGGCCTCTCCAATTTCAAGTTACATCCCTCAATCGGTATATCATTAAGAGATATGCGTTCCGATCCGATTGACTGGGCGATTGTAGAAACGATTGTAGGCGCACGAGTCTGGGAAGTCTTTCTAAAAGTCATCCGAACGACATATTCGCGAAATCAGAATATCTCTCTTATACTTCAATTTTTTTTCACGTTGATGTAACTGACGCAAACTTATAGAAACTACGTACGACCAATATTTAAAAAAATTATCAAAATCGTTATATCAAAAATACATTACACTGTTACATTATTAGGCTAATGTAAATTCCACTCGCATTCGACTTATTCGATTATGTATAATAACGTATGTATAAAGAGTGGAAAAAGATCATATCGGTTCCGTAAATGTAAATTATGTAAAACGCAGAAGACAAATATATATATTTAAATCCATAATGAAGATTCATCGCATCGCTTCAAACCGAACCCGGCGAGACGCAGCTTTATATCCAGACTCCGCCGCATTTTGTACGTTTAATGGATACACCATTCCTCGTCCCGTACTAAAAAATCCATATTATGAGTATTCTTTAAATAAAGAATACTATAAAAGCGCCGCGCATGGCTATAGACATTTATGTGTATGTGTATATTTATCTCTTTTTATTCACGTTCGATGTTAAAAAAGTACAGTTTGCATCCTCTTTTTCCCGATTGAGCGTCACCTTGAACGGAGATAATTAAAATAATTTGGAAAGAGAGAGGAAGAGAGAGACCATTTTTCATCGAATTAGGCGGCGTCGCGAGCTAAACCAATCCTGAAAAAAAAAAAAAAAAAAAAAAAAATTACATCACCTTGTTTCTCGGTTTTTCTCTTACTGCATCGAGTATTGGGATATATTGCGCAACACAAAACCGAATTTCATTTTCTCTCTCTCTCGCTATCTATCTATCTATCTATCTTTGTCAAGGCGAACCATCCATCCTGCTCGCGCAAGGACGCGAGGAATATCAATTTTTAACGGGCGATAGCGTGACCGTGCGCGAGAGACCATTACGGTAAAATTAACATTCTTTACTGCGGCTCTTCTATTAAATTCCCTTCCTCCACCTGCCTGTTTGCCTGCCTGACTCGCCTACCTACCTACCTACCTACCAACCTACCAACCTACCTACCTACCTATCTACCTACCTACCTAATACCCATCCACCCACCTACCTACCTACCTACCTACCCCTATCTACCTATACCTACACTTAGCTATCTACCCTGAGGAAACCCACCCCGGTACCAAGCGCGTCCCCGACTCTATACGCCCCCGTTCTCCCTCGCTCGCCTCGCGTCATCCCCCTCTCCCTATATAACGAGATTACCGCGGTCGTACCGTTTCGCCGTCCCGTTCTATCGCGTGTCGCATTGCGCGTCCTAGCGTGCGCAGGCTCGACGCACACGATGTGCCGTGCGGTATCGCGTCATCGTGCGTAGCAAAGACGACGATAATGACGACGATGATGATGATAATTATGATCATGGCAACAACAACAACGAAACTTTCGAGAGTCGCTTCACCGTCGAGGAAATGCGGCGGATAGGATCGACTTTTTGGAGCAAACTACGTCAATGACGTTAGCCTTTAGAAAACGCTCTCTCGGGGGGTTTGTCGTCGGGTGTCGGCGATGGGATGGCGATGGGATCGACTGCGACGCATCAGCTCCGCGTATTTAACGGCGCGACAGAGCACGGCAGAGCACTTGCGGATGCTTGCAGAGCACGGGACGGCACGGCGCGGCGTGGCGTGGTTCGCCGGCATCGATTTTTGCCGCGACGCGGCAGCGTTTTCCGCGAAGCGTGTCGGCATACATACTGGCGTCTGGCGTGTGTATGTATGTATATACGTACATACGTATATGTAATGCACGTATACCGTATATCGTGCTTGGCGCATTACGCATCCGCAGAGCCGCACGGCTATGCGTTAAGATACAATCGACCGGCTTGTCGGCCGATCCCCGCCCTCTTTTACCGCCATCCTTTCTTTTTTCCTTCACACGTCGGCCGCCCTTTTCTCTCCCTTTCGGGGAAGCGGAAAATCGCTCCGAGAGCGACGAAGAAGACCTCCCCTCCCTCATGCGTCGCGAATAATTTTTCCGCGGGCGCGCACGCGACGTCGTCGCTAATTTGCCTTATCGACAACGCGCCGTGCGGGTCGCCGTCGAGCGCACGTAACCGCCGCTCCTCTGTCTTCGGGATATATCGGTCATGGTCACAACGACGACGGAGCGGTTAACGATTCATCGGACGACACGCATACACACGCGCACATACATAGAGGCTGATACGTAGGGAACGGTGCGGTGCGGACGCGAACGGCGGGGTGTTCCTGACCGCCGCGTCGCCGTCTTCCTGGCCGGAATGCGCCAACGATCGATATGTGCCGTGCGCGCTATACGCTCTTTTGCGAGAAAAGAAATTTGGCGTCCTCCTCGACGAGAGAGAACGCGGGTGCGCGCGCGCGCGCGCGCTCTTTCGCTCATCCGCCCCCGAGAGAACAGGGGTCGCCGTCCCGATGGTCCCCTTTATGCATATTACGTCGCGTTGCTGATCGAGAAAAGCCTTGGCTGTCGCATCGGCACCGCTGCGGCACGCCGCGCTTTTCTCCGTTGTCAATCTCGGGATTCAAGTCAAATTTCGATTCTATCCCCCCGCATCTAAAATCTAGAAAATTTCACCTAGAGTAACGTCAAAGATTGAATCTATCAAATATAATAGCAGAGTAATGATAAACGGCCATTTTTACTTCGCATTCCGAAAAATCGTTTAAACGCCCGACAGATAATTACGTTATTATAAATAAAAATAATATACGATGCTATATAAAGCGCGCGCTCTTTCGCTCATCCGCCCCCGAGAGAACAGGGGTCGCCGTCCCGATGGTCCCCTTTATGCATATTACGTCGCGTTGCTGATCGAGAAAAGCCTTGGCTGTCGCATCGGCACCGCTGCGGCACGCCGCGCTTTTCTCCGTTGTCAATCTCGGGATTCAAGTCAAATTTCGATTCTATCCCCCCGCATCTAAAATCTAGAAAATTTCACCTAGAGTAACGTCAAAGATTGAATCTATCAAATATAATAGCAGAGTAATGATAAACGGCCATTTTTACTTCGCATTCCGAAAAATCGTTTAAACGCCCGACAGATAATTACGTTATTATAAATAAAAATAATATACGATGCTATATAAATTATAGAAAATAATTGAAAAGAGAGATTCAAGATTCATAATAATTATAGTACACAATTTTCGTTCGAGATATCCCTCCCATGATCGATCTCCGCGAGAAATATAGCGTCATTCTGAATATAGATACGCTCCGAACGTCGCAACTATAATCACAAGTGAGACAGAAACCGCATCGCGTTCTTGCACCTGTCGCCGATAATTTTCTCTCTTCTTTTGAAAGCGACAAAAATCGACTTCCAGTGATGAGGCGACGCGTTCCTCCTCACCTTCACCGTTTTCTCCTCCCCCCTTCCCCGCTGTTGCAGATGCGATATCTATGATTATTTAGTTTCTATAACTGGAAAAAATGCGCACGCGCGCGCGCGCGCGCGACCGGCCGGCCGCAAAGTGGCGCGCGTTGCATTATTCATCGCGCGCGCGGCGCGACTTGCGTACGCCATCTTCGTATAAAACCGCCCTCGTAAAAATTTTAGGTCCTCTTCCCCTTTCCCCTCCACCCCGCCGGACTTATAATATTGTTATTCGCGACGGGAAAAAACGCGCGTCGTCCGATAAAATAAATAAGCGAAGAGATAACGATTTCGCAGGTATTTATACGGCTTGTAAGGCGAGGACCGATGTCGATAACGGGAATTTCTCAAATATATATAATTTCAGTCAATTTCCCTCTCGCGACGTATGTGATTTCGACGTTAAAACGGTCCGTGACGATAAGGCTCTTGTCCCGTGAAAAAACGTGTAACTCGTAAAGTCAACGAGATTGAGTCGCATATCAACATAAATGACTATATATATATATATATATAACGGACATACATGTGTTGTACAATTTCGTCATCGATAGTTATCGATAATATTTCGATTCTTTCAAATGCATCTTATCGACGAGCGTAATCTCCGCATACACGTACGAGAACGCAATGCAGAACTTTTGGAGAATATAATGTATATACGTGCGATTCCAAAGTGGAGCAGACGGCGCGAGTACAAACGAGAGAGAAAGAATCAGCTGGATCGAGAGAGAGAGAGAGAGAGAGAGAGAGAGAGAGGGTAGGGAGGAAAAGAGACCGAGAAGATTACGAAACAGAGAGAGAGAGAGAGAAAGGAATCGAGCTTCTCGCATATATTCTTGCCTTATCTTTATAGACGTGCGTACAGAAAATAATCGAGTCGAGAATTTTATCGATAAACAGTCAATTTTATAGTTGCGTACGCTCAGAACGCGATTATACGTTATCTGACACCATGGTCAAATTGCCGCACTGACACACATACCAAGAAAATGGAAATAGTATATAGGCAAAGCGATGGGACTGCGGTGAGGGGCACAGGGAGGAAGAGAGGGAGAGAGGAGCGAAACGGGCACTGAGAGAACGACTGTAGACTAAAGAGAGGGAGAGAGAAAAGTGAGGAAGAGGAAAGGTAATAGGAGAAAGGCAAAAGGGGCGTAGGAAAGGGGTGCGGAGGACAAGGGCGACGACGACTATGACGACGACGGTACGGCCAGATACGATAAATTTTCACGCTTTACACCCGCCTGTAAATTCCTCGTGAAGGTGGAGACCCGTGCTAGAGTGCTCACCGATGAAATTGATCAAAATCAATACTCGATAAAGAGAGAGGGAGATAAGAGACGGGAAAAGAGAGAGAAAACGTGAGAAAATTACAGTGGCTCTCTAGTTTTCTATCTTCTTTTTGTCCCCATATCTCTCTCTCTCTCTCTCTTTCTCAATGTCTCTATCTTTCTCCGTCTTGCCTTGGATAGATCCAATTTGCGTCGTCATCCACGAAAGCGATAGGTTTCTTCTATAGCGCGGTTTCTCGTTAAAAGGCCCTTATTTCATTAAAAGGAAAAAAAGGAAAGAGAGAAAGATTCGATCGATAAAAGGGTGATACCGAGGCCAACGAGCCGCAGTTTAGATTATATGCGAGAGAGAGAGAGAGAGAGAGAGAGTCTATATAAAAGGATCATTCGGCTCGAAATCCCATGTGTGACGCACGAAACTCAAACTACCGGTTTGCGATCGCGAAACATTACGCCGTTTCGCAACGACGCGATCTCATCCTGCTATGAAAAGAGAGAAAAAAGAGGGAAGGAGTTACAAAGTTAATAAGACAAATGTCACTGACAAGATTGATGACGAGAGAAAGCAACGGACGAAAGAAGCGCGGAGCAAAACGAAACATGGAAATACAAAGAGGAAACGCGGGAGAAAAAGAGTCGCGCGCGTTGGCAATTTGGAGGTTTGAGGGAGGAAAAAAAATAAAGTATCGAGTAGGGGGTTCTCGGAAACGGACCGATCGCACGGGGAAACGCACCGGAAGGGAATCGAGGGAGAAGCGCATTAGAGGGCGGAGGGAGAGGAGGAATCGTGTTCGGCGAAAAACGCGTCCGTCGCATTCGGAGCGGTCTTCTCGCAGGCAGGGAAGCAGCAGGGAAGCCCGGCGCCCGGCTTTGACCCGGTAGCCGGCGCGACACTGCACAGTCCGCGCGGCTGCCTGACGCATTGCAGGTGCGCGCCGGCCAATCACAGGCCCGGTTAGTCGTCCGGACTCGTCCTGTAAACACGACCGCACCCACCCCGCCGTGTAAAACGGATTTGTTACGGGGCGGGTGTATACGGCGTGCCGGTCCGTGGCCGCGCCGCGCCGCGCCGCGCCGCGCCACGTCGCTGCGCCGCGCCTCGCGCAGCCCGTAAGGGGATGGCGTAGTGATATCCGGGCTGCGAGACCAGCGGCGGTCCACAGAGAGAGCCTCGCAGAGACCGAGAAAGACACGGTGGACTCCATTGCTGTCCCGAGTTTCTCGCCGGACTAGGTGTATTCCGTTACTGCGTGTCTCGTCCGCGCTCGTGCACGCACAAAGTTTCATCTCCCCGAATCGGCGAATCGTTTTACGAACAAACGACCGACCGATAGCCGGAGCTTGTGATTCGGAGACACTTTTTTGTTGTCCAGTGTGCGGGGACGCGTGTGTCCGCGGGCCGAGTCTTCTCGTGCGTGACCTGAGACGTGAGAGAAAAGGGTACCACAATGGTAAGTACTCTCGTCGTCTGTGTCGCGCCATGCGATCAACGACGATGATTACGCCGCGGGTAACGATGCATTTACCGTGCCATTTCCTCGTTTCTCGCGTTGCGTTATAGGTACATGTAAACTCGTCATCTTCATCATCATCATCGGCTGTTTCAATAACCGTAACCGAATCCTCGCCGCATTGACGCATCGCCGAGCGCACGTGCGACGAGAGAACGATGCGTAATTTATGATCCGCATTTCAACTCGTCCTCCATCCGTGCAACTCCATCTTTCTCGTTTGTTCGTTCGTTCGTTCGTTTGTTTGTTTGTTTGTTTGTTTGTTCGTTCGTTTGTTCATTCGGTCGTTCCTCGTATCAGCCGGCAAGACGGATTTCCTTTTCTGGAAGGACGGCGGCATAGCTTCTCTCTCTCTCTCTCTTTCTCTCTCCCTCTCTGTTCTTACTCCTATCTATACATCCATTTCTCCGTCTCTCTCTTTCTTCCTTCATCGACCGTTGATTATCAGCCTCGTCGCTCGAAACACATATTTTGTGCCGCCCCGCAGATTGCCTCGTTTCCTCGCGATTATCGATCGGGCATGGCCGTCTATGCAGAGTTTATTCCGCGGCAACGAGAAAAATCTGCATCCGCGCGAGCGGAAGTAACCGCCGATCGATCGTTTGTCGCGTAGTAAGAACGAGAAAGAAAGAGACCTCGAAAGAGTGAGGGGAGGGGGGGGGGCAGGAGCTGTAAAAAGTAAAATGCTTCGCCTTTTATTTTCCGAGTCTTCATCGATGGATTATTCGCGAAAACTCGGAGCTCTCGCGCTCCTAAACGTTTATCATCGTTCCGACCCGATCTGACGCGGTGACACGTTTACGTGTCCCCGGAATTCTGGCGCTACGGCTGGCCGGCCGTACGTTACGGAAGCGAGACAGGTGGGCGATGGATTTCGCCGCAAAGAGCCAAGCGGCTAATTTCGCCGCTTCCAGCCAGCCTCTAATCTCGCTCGGCCCATACGTATTGTCAGCTTGATGCGCGCATCGCAATCGTGTGCCCTCTTGGACTCGTCGAGATAATCGACGAGCGCCGCGCGCGACGGTTATCTTCTCGCCTTCCGTCTATCCGTCTGTCCGTCCGTTCGTCTGTCCGTCCGTTCGTCTGTCTCTCCGTTATGCGCTGCTAAATTCACAGCCTTTGCGTTTGAGATCTAAACGTCGCTCGTTCTCGGCTACACTTTCCGCACACTTATCGACAAAACGCTTTTATATATACATGTATTTAAATTAAGAAGGTAAAAGATATCGCACGCACGCAAGGGAAAGA